TTCTCTATACCGGTCAAGCCTATAAACTGCCTGTTGTATTTGGAGCACATTATTATTTTCACTGCAAGATAAGCACCTTTACAAAGCAAACTGAATAAATGATGACAAGCCCACCCTGCCTCCCTCTTGTGCACAGAAGTGATTCCAGTGCTGCTTTGAGGCATCCCTCAAGTAAAAGAACATAAAAATAGAATGTGAGAAATCACCATATTTTCTAGACTTCACACTTAGTATGAAAAGCAGAAACTTCTTTGTGCCCCAACATACCTCTAGTTTCTCCCCCTTTTAACCTAAAGACTTCATCCACGTTGGTGTTGTTTATTGTAATGAGCACCCAGAGAGGCCTCTGCTCTCTCGTCCGCATTCTCAGGCCTGCCTCCGAGGATACATGCAGCTTACCCGTGTGGGGTAGTAAGACAGCCAATCTGAAATGTAGTTTTCATTTCAAATTTGTTTCCATTTTCTCAAAATGGTAGAAAGTCAGATACAAAACAAGTTGGCTGGAAAAATCAGTTGTGCAATGGTGTCAAAATCACTCGATGCATAAAATTTACCCTCTTACAGTAAATAAAAGGACATTGAGAAACAGAGCAGACTACAAAGTAAGAATTTTAGTTTGAGTCTCAACAACAACAATAAAAAAAAAAAATCAGAACCTAAAGGACTAGTTTATCTGCCAGGTTTCAGTTTCTTTCGGTTTATTCAGTTGCAAAATCTTGGGGATTTTGAAGAAATCTTCAAACAAATTTTCCACTGCGGGCTCATGTACAGTGACTATGCCTTAATATATACCTGTCTGTGCCTTTCTTCTGTCACATGCTCAGGTATGAGACCTTTTTTCTCAAAGCCAGGTATCATAGAAATAGTGGTAGAAATTCATTTTCTTCAAATATGGTTCTATGCTTAAATTTCTTCTGCATGACAATTCTAAGCAACACAGTTATAAATTAGAAAAATGGATTTCAAACACTAAATATAAATAGACTGCACTAACTTCTATGGTATCACTGCCTCCCAAGCCTTGAATGCTTTTCTTCAATGTTTGAATTATCTGTTATTGTACTACTGTTTCCAAAAATTATCCAAATTGACATCTTTAGGAGACTTTGCTGTCTGTATAATAAGCATGCAATTAACATTTCAATATTACCAAAGAACTCATGTATATAATACAAAGGTCCACAGAAAAGGTATATGTGTATTTTGAGTCTCTTTTTTAAAAGATGAATTTTAAGAGATTCAGATAGAAAGTCTAAGTGCTCTTTGATCAGAAATCATTTCAGAGCATTATTAGACTTACAAAAATATTAAGGTCTTTATATTCCTCTAAAAGTAAAATGAATTACATTATGAGTTTTAAATAAAATGAATGTGTGATTTATATAGTTTTAAGTAACATACATTTATAAACCATACACAATTAAGATACATTCTTTAACGCTCTGTCCCATATCAAAGGTTAGCTCTGGTTCAACACAGAACACATAAATAAGGTTACACTGTTCTTTCAGGTTCAGTATCATTATATATGCATTATGTACTGAAACAACAAATTTAATCTACCTGAGTTTACTAATATTCAAAAACATTTTTCATGTTCCACTTGGGATTAACTACAAATATACATTTTACAAACTTGAATGTTTGGGGCAATAGAACCCTTAAAATTCCTACATAGGCATATTAAGCACGCATACTGACATTTAATAAAAGCTACTTGATTTAATGATTAACTACAGAAATCATAACAAACCGTAAGCCAGTCATTTCCATGAATGGACTCTATGGGTGTCACACGGCCTCTGAAAGCCACTCTTAAATATCCTCACTGAAACTGTTACTCACTAATGTGCTACATTTTAAAGCCAAATTGGATTTTCACTCCTTTTCTGCCAAGCTAACTGGAGAGAATGCTCCCTATAGCGAGTTACAAACTTAACTGCAAACCTATTCCTAAAGAAATACCATATTTAGGAATACAAGGCGACAAATCAAGAAAATTTCTGTTTTTGAAAGGATTTTGTTGTTGTTATTGTTAATGACACATCAAAGATTAAGTATCATACATAAGACTAAAAATTTTGGTGAACAGCAAATTAGTAAATATTAGAATAAAATTAGGAAAGGTAACTGCATAATTCATCCCTTTCCAAAAATTATTTCTTTCAAAGGCTCAACTATTTTGGAAAAAAAATGTCCTCTATGCTCAAATTATCTAGATAACTCAACAGTTTATCATAAGTAGATAGATAATCAGGTATTTGAACTTGGGAAATTTTTTTTTACAAGCCTTTGATTTATTTCCAAGACCTCACCCTTTCTCAACATAATGTTCTGCATTTGGAATTCCGTTTCTTGTACAAGAAATTACCAGGTTATTTAGTAAAGGGTTTTTTTTTAAGGAATTGGTTTGTAAAAATACTTAAAAGTTTAATTTCTTAAGTGTCTCTGAAAATGAATTAAATTTCTAAAAAGTTCAATATCAGTAAGATTTGACTGCTTTGCAATCCTTTTATAATGAGCAAGTTTGAGTAGGGATGGGAAGGCTACAAACATAAATGTTTCTTTTTATAGAACTAAGTTGACTTGAGTCAAAGGGAAAGTGGTTCTAGTCTTAGAACGAAGGCTCACTTATAAAGATGTTTGCCGTGCTTCTGTAGGCAAAAGGTAGAACATTTTTAACATAAGGAGCAAAATCCTGTTTGTGTAATAAATTTGGATATAAGCCAAAATGAAGTTTCTAAAAACTATTTGCTTTTAAAAAATACAATTATTTATTTTTAAAGATACTACTTTTAACATTTTAAGGGCAAAAAGACTTTAAAATAGATGGAGCTTTTCTTTTCCACATTTCAAGATTTCACATGTGCTTCATTGTATTTTATCAGAAATTTCAAACATTTGCAACAAATACTTATAAAAATTTAGATTATCTACAAATTAAAATTTAAAATTACCTGAGTTCCCTATCCAGAGGCATTACAAATTTCTTTTGATTAGAAATTAAATATCATGTTAAGCTTTCTAGGAATAAAATGTCATGCAATATCAGAAAATTTGAGATCTTAAAACCTTTTTTTGAAAAAAAATTCTTAACAGAAACAATGAGTATTCTTAAGTCTACAATTTGTGTTTTATCTATAAACATGGAAATCCAAGATTTTTAAAGTAATTTTTTAGTTCGTTTTGTTTTGATTTGTTTTTTTGTTTTTAAGTGTTTTCTTCAACGGTTCGTAGTTCACAACAGATTTACTTGGGAAAACTAGTATGGTCATTATGTGAGAGACATTATATATTTTTAATGTTCATCTTTTTCAAACCTTCCAAAAAATTTGTTTGTAGATATTTGTGACAAGCCTGATAAAGAAAAACTCCACTTGATTCCCCTATTAATCTGATAGTAGAATTAACTGGAAAGGAAATCCAAAACCAAGAGTCCTAACATTTCATCCTTCTTAGCTATTCCCTGGAGTACAACTAGCATACAGTGCTGGGCCCACAGTGATCCAGGGCATAATTATCTGAAAGAAACAGATGTTTTCAAAAGTAAGTGAAACCATGTCTTAAAAATATACTTATGGATCAGGCCAGATGTCAAATAATCCATTTTAATGGTTTCTAACACGATTGTGCAACAAATTTTCTTAAAAAGTATAACGAGACGGATTCAGGCATCAAGTGTGACAATTTGCATAACCATTATTTTTCTAATTTTCCAATGTTTTAAGAAGTTATTTTCAAGTCATGTCAAACTATTGATGAGTACACCTGGCTAAGCTTGGTAAGCTAATGCTCATTTGAAATTAGACGGCCAGTGGGACTAATGGACAGTGAAGTCTCTGTACCAGTAGGCTGTTACCTGACAACTTACTAGTGGAAAAGCAAGTGTTGATATTCCTTTCTCGAAGTTTATAATTGTTCGAGAAATGATTTTGCAGAGACCAAATGTATATCCTCATTTCGCGTGGAATGTTCAGATGGTTAAGACTGAGTTGCATATATATTTTCAACAAAAAGGGGCAATGTAACATTCCAAATAGTAAATTTTCAATCGTGCTTTATGGTACAATCTTTGTGGATTCCTACTCCAAAGCCATCAGGAAGCTTATTAATGTGATATATTTTCAAGACCCAGATCTTATTCCACTTCTAGATGTCAAGATTAGCTTACTACATGCCATTTATCATAAATGTATGTAATAGTAATATAAACCTATTCTAATATGCATTTTTAGGATTATACACAATTACAAGTTTCAAGTTTAACAGAATCTCTGGTCAGTACTTAGCCCTGTGTGCTACTTAGGGCCGCTCATGATGATTCCCCTGCAGCTCCGCCTGCACACAAGGGTTCTGTTGATTCCCTAGGTCAACCTGCAATGTTTCCCAACAAGATAGGCTTGAAATTGGGACAATCATAAAAGATAAAAAAAGTGTTCCCTTAATGGCACAATATTTAAAATTAAAATCTGAGAATTAAAACCTGGGACTGTTCAAGTTCTCCCAGCAACAAGAAGGATGCATATAGCTAATCCTGAACAATTGAGTGCCTGCTAATTCAATTGCCTAATTCAAGACTCATTAGCCAAGCAGTCTTCCAAATTAAGACATCCGGTCTCCTTCAATTTTCCACTTAAACCAGAACACAGTAGATTTGACCAATCAACTTAGGATAAAATTACACATGAAAAGTGACTTCATGGTGTATGGACTACCAGTTGGACAGCCTATCAAGAAAACCCTAGCTGTCACTTGAAGTTTCATGGATTCACAAGTTTCTAGGGAATTACCTCAACATTCTCATTACAACTATAAAAAATGGGCCACATTTTCTAAACGTGCATTTAAATTAGAATGCTTGCTCATTTCCATTTGGGTGGTCTAACACACACTACAATTTCATGAACTGACTAGAACTGATATTAAAGAGATCATGTACTACACATACTTAGAATCCATCTAGTACGTGATAACACAAACACACACAGGCACACAGAAAATTCTCAGTTCATATAATTTATTGCAGTTAGCACACAGTTTAAAAATTCACCAACACACCAATAGTACAAAACTAAACAGCATTATAAGTTATTCCCCCCTCAGGAAAATAAAACATACTATGATTGTCAAAGCTAGATGTCAGTCTAAGTTTTAGAACAAAGGAAGAATGTGAAACTAAGAAAAGGAAGAAGCAATCACTCACAATGACCACAAAAAGAAAATCCAAAAGAAAGTCCGTTTTTCTCACAGACATTGATTGTCTTCTCTAAATTAATAAAAATTATTTTAACATAAAACTGTATTTAAAAAAAAAAAACTAGAAACTCTTCAAGTAACTAAAGATAATGCTCCAAGGCCATTTTCACAGCTTTTTTTTTGTTTGTTTGCTTTAAATGCCATTACAGCCAAATTAACACACATTTGACCAAATATTTCCAAAACAGTCCAGCAACACACAATGGAGTTTTCCATTCAGTATCTTAAGCACAAAAATAGGCTATGTTTACAGTAGTTAAGGCGATCAAATTTTAAACAAAAGCAATTAAAAAAAAAAAAAAAAGGAAAAAACAGCAAACGTTTTCCATGCTACTCCCATAGACCTTATTTGTAAGTGCAAGACAGGAAAACAAACACTGTGCAAAATGCTTTTGCCCTGTGTGCTGGTCATTAAAACCACACATTAGGCTGCAGCCTCTGCTGCCGATACACATAGTCCACTAACCCCCTTCCCCATGTCAATCAAGGCAGTCCAGTCCTTTCAGCCTGGGGCTTTTTCAGTCCATAGAATCTTTTCATGAGTGGGGGTGGGGGGGGAGAGGAAGAGAAAGAAAAGGGGAGCAAAAAAAAAAAAAAAAATGAGAATGACCTATTGTCAATTTGTGCAGTAGTTATTCTAAAAATGCTCAACTGGGTAAATGTGTACACCTAAACTTTGAGCTGGCATGGGTTTTGTGCAATTAGAAGTTTGTTATAAATGCACACTGCACATGCAAATCTTTAAGCCGTTTGTAAACATGTATATGTTCCTTGTTATGTAGCAAAGTTATCAATTTGCAGCTTAAGTTTTATTCAGCTTAACAGTTTCAACTTAAGGACAGTGGGAAAGTCAATTTAAATTATATAAAATAAAAATAAAAACAGTGCATTTACGTTCTTCATAACACCAGTTTTTTCCAAATGGTGCTATTTTTCTAAGGAAATTAAATAATTTTAAACTCACTCGTTAAAGTTATACAATGCAAACAAAGACAAAAAATATATTGAACTCATGCATTTCTGTAGCGTTAATATTTACTTTTCAAGACTCAACTAAGAGCATCAACACAACCTGTCAAGTTCTTTGACACCCCCCCAGCCCATGTAATCAATTACAGTATACAAGAACAGTAATTCACATTTTTAAACACACAGTTCAACACTGCTGAAGCTGCAATATCCTTTTTCATCTCAAGCAAACCTTCACAAAGACAGTGTCCCAGTGATCCCAGTGTACTTTCAGAATTTCTCTCATTGGGAACCGTCAGAAAACCAGAAGTTGCCACAGAAAGTTTTAAGTCAACTGCTTGTTTAAAAATAGATAATCCAGCATTTCAGAAATTTTCCATTTGGGTCTAAAAGCATTCAGGTTTCCAACAGCCAGAAAAGGTTCATGCAATTTGAGATGTAGAGGTTAATATAACTGGAGGGAATTTCTACTTTTAAAAAACAAAACAAAAAATGTGGGGCACAAAAACTCAAGACAATGCAGTGTTGACAAAATTAAGCCATATGAAAGCATTGTGTGATAAGACAATTTGTTTAGAAGGTTCTTATTGGCTTACTTCACCTATCCCTCAAAGGAAAGATACCTCTCTATTCTCTGACTTGTTCTAAAGTTTCTTTTATCAGAATGCTAAATTAGTGAGATTCTCATGCTATTATTCTAAAGTGCAAAACAAGTTAAGATCCCAACTTTTTAGTTCCAGGAAACAAGACTGCTTTTAGACCGTACCACAACTATATAGAGATCTATGTATATATGTATATATGTATATATATATATTATTTATATATATATATATAAAATTATTTCCAAAGTTCTTGAGAGCTATCTTCTAAGGTCCAGTCTCTGACAGTAGGCAAGCTCAGTGCTTCACTTTTGACCGACAAGGAGTTCACCAACTCACAGTGAAACTTGCGAATGTGTCTGTACAGGTCTCCCGACTGCGTGAACCTGCGCTCACACCACTTGCAGGCATGCGGCTTCTCGCGTGTGTGCACCACGGCGTGGCGGCTCAGGTTGTGCGAGTACTGGAAGCTCTTGCCGCACTGGGTGCATGTGTAGGGCTTCTCCCCCGAGTGAGTCCTCTCGTGACGCTTGAGGGTGTACATGCAGGAGAAAGTCTTCCCGCACAGCGAGCACGTGGGCACGTTGACATCGGCCGCCGGCTTGCTGCGGATGCCGTCCTGCTCCCGGAAGTGGGTGCTCAGGTGGATCTGCAGGATATGAGGGCTGGGGAAGACTTTGTTGCACAGGGGGCACATGAAGATCTGGCCCGCAGGGCTCAGGATGTTGGAGACGTAGGGGAGCAGACTGCTCTCCATGCCCCCTTCCACCTGGACCCGCTCGCTCTCCGGGGTCATCATTTCATCATCACTGGCTTTGTCCTCCCGATCCAGCTCCCTCAAGACCGAGTCCTCCCTCAGAGGAGCCAGATGGGCCGGCTCATACTGTACCCTGTTATTAGTGCTCACACTTTCTTTCACAGTGCTATGTTCCATGTCATAGTCATTAGTGCCAACATCACTCTCATCACAGGAAGCCTCTTTCTCCACCTTCACCTGCACCAGGTTGCTTCTCAGCACGTCCTGTGAAGAGAAATAAGAGCTGTTCAGATTTTCAACTCCTGAAAGGCTGGACTTGACAGACAGGTCCAGCACACAGTCAACATCTGCTGAATCCCTCACGGAGGTGACAGACCTCTGGGACAAAGACTCTGTTGAGCTGCAGGGGCTGGCTACTGTTTTTCCAGCTGCTGTGGCGTGTGGCTCTGCCTCTCCGCCAGCCTGGGGGATGCCTGCTGAGTCTGAGGGCAATCGCATCCACATGTTCCCAGGCTCGGCCGCCAAGTCCCTTTTGCTGGGCAGGATATTCAACTTTTCATCTTCTCCTTCATCTTCATCACTGGGCAAATCGCCTGCCATGTGGCTGCTGCCATCCGAGAGGCTCTCGACTTTGTCCGAACAACTTGAGGCATCTTCCTCCTTTTTGGTGCTGTCTGCCTCTGTGGTGGCTTTCTCTTTTAGTTTCTTTTTGCAGACTTTGACAATGTCATACATGTGGAGATAACTGGCAGCTGCTAGCACGTCTTCAATGGGCAAGTCTTTGAACTGGAGTTTCCCTTCATACATGAATTCAAGCAGGAGAGCGAAAGCGGGGGCTGTAACAATGTCGCTGTTCAGATGAACAATGTCTCTTTTGTCCAGCTGGTCCTTGTAAAAGAGGTGGAAATACATGCTGCATGAAGCCAGTACAGCTCGGTGCGCTCGGAACTGGGCATCTCCCACCAGAACAGTGCAGTCACAAAGAAAGCCCTGGTGTCTCTGCTCACTCAGACACTGCAGCAAATGTCTACTGTGGTCTGGAAACTCCATACTGTCTTCATAACCTGGGAAAAGAGGAATTTTTCATTAGAACCTGGTCAGGAACAAGTTTTGAGCACTCTGGTCCCCATATAGAAAAATAATAATTGTGCTTTGACTGCCAGGATACATGTGCCTGAATTTTAACCAGGCTTATCACCCATGGACTACCAAATCAACACACAGGACCTAAATTTAGGGGAAAAAAGATGTACTTCCTAAACTTCCTTACCCCAGCAAATAATATCTGATGCAGCTCCACCTTCCCTGAACTTTTGCTCAAGTTTTAAAAGCCTGCATTTAACTTCGTCCTCTTACTGAGAACAAGAATTTAGAGCTCTTTCAAAAGAAATTTAGCTAACTCTACTTGTCAAATTACGTCCCCCATAAAACTACAAGAGAGCTTTAATTTCAAAGGGAACAATTCCTATCATGAACAAAGGAAAGTCCCAGATATATTCTGCAAGATTCAAGAAAACTCAATTATTCCTTTTATTTCATACTTTTGATACCTGACTGTACTTAACACAGTTTAAGCATATCCACACATTTGGCTGAGTCAAGATAAAAAACGGAATCACATAATTAGTCTAGAAATCAGCAAACAACTTACTTTTAAAGTCAGAGTGTTAGGACAACAAAAACCCTGCGTATAAAAACAGATGTTAATGCCTTAAGATTTGCAGGTATAGCACACATGCACGGGATCAGAAGGAACTATACCACCAGATGGAAAAGATCATCTTTACTATGAACATCCAAAGATTTTTTTTTAATGAGAAAAAAATGGCTTTTTTTTTTTTTGGTAGAGCCTGTACTTCAACAGTATTAGAAACCAAGAGAAGCTTTAATTAACTCTGAAAATTCTCATTTAAACTTTGATTTGCTACAAGGCAAAAGAAGTTTCACATTAAAATTAACTCAAATTTTTAAAAATAAAGAAATACCACTCTTAAGTGAAACTCAAAAGCTTTAGATTCAACTTTTTTTAAGCCTTTCTAGAAAAACTTTTTCTGGCTTTGCCTTACCTCCACAACAGAATATACTTTGTTTCAACGTAACTTGACATATTTTGTTTTCCCATTAGCTGCTATTCATTTAACTATGCATCTCTGCCTTATTTTCTGGTAAGGGAGGGTGAAATGGAGACACAAGAAAGGCAAAGATGTACAAAGGGTCCAAATTCACCTTCAGTGGGTACATTCTGTGAAAATCAAGACAACCTGACTCCCCCTTTCCTGTGACCAGAGCCAAGACTCTGCAGCACTCATTTCAGCAAGTGCATTTTGAGGATGAATACAGATTAATTTAATATTCAAAAATTAGTTCCGTTCTTCTACACTTTGCCCAAAACAGACTCAAACTTTCATCCTAAAGCCAGATCCATTCTGTAAGATGCCATGGCTAGCATACACCAAGATTTACAATACAATCACTTTAAGTGCCCCACAGCTAACATCAATCCTAATCCTTGAGAGGGCTAAAAATAAAGATTGGAGGGCAGCTCACAAGGTAGCCGTGATCAAATTAGGAGGCTGAGAGGACAGAGAGGGACGAAGAAGGAAGCTTATAAACATCTGATCCAGCTGACTGTGGCCATATGGCAGCTGCTGCCCAGATAAAGAGATTAAGAATAGAGGAGTGCGATTACAGCTGTCTGGCCAATTCAGGCAGCTCAAATCTACAAGTTCTAAATTAGTCGCTAACACAAAAACTCCTGCAAATAATTATTGTTATGCTGAAATAAAAGATCTCTTAAATATATATTTGAAAGAGAAATGAGGAAACCAGTCAAACTATTCTCACGAGGACAAAAGTTTGGTTTTTTGCTTTTTGTTTTTTTCCTCATCTTTAAAAAACCTCCGGTTTCAAAAGCACTACAGCTGTATGTTTCAGTAGTGCTGCTGAATGTTTTGAAGAATAAAGTTTCACAGTGGAATTAGTTACACAACAATCTAGCTTCTTAACTAGAATAATCTTCTCCTGTAAGTTTGAATGCTGGGCTCCAGCTTACTATTTCTGCCTCTCAAGCAAAAGGAATCCACAGAACAGTGAACAAAAAAGCATTTTAATACAAAGTGATCTCAAAAAGCAGTATTTCAAAGTCGTTAACATTACAAAACTTGAAATATTTCTTTGTATTAAAGTTATTTACTTGCTCAAGTAAAAGGGATAAAAATTAACACTAAGCAAGCCCAACACTTTCAATTCCGGTAAGATCATTATTTAATGCTCCATTTCACATATTATCCCTCAACTGGTTTAGAAAAGTAATGTGAATTTTTAAAAATTAAATAAACAAAACACCAAAACAGAAATATGCTCAATCTAATCCTTGCTACTCCTACCTTTAGGACACATAAACCTGATTAAGTCCTTTCCTCTGAGTCTTCCTGGCTCCAGGTCTGTTACATCGGTGGAAAAAAAGCAGACTACGAGAGACAGATGCAAAGTGGAGATGATGTTAGAGAGGAATGAGCTACCTTCTCCACCACAGATCCGCACACACTAACTCCCTGTCTGTGTGTTAGAATAAAAGGCTGAGGGATGGCAGGCTGTCAGCTGCTCTGACATCATGTTCAGATGGAAATGCTACCTCCAGCTGTGCTCCTTTTAATGCCATATGCTACTCCTCTACACTCCTGCCACCAGCTTTTTCTTAGGAGAACTTTTCTCTTCTGTTAGTATAAACAAAATACTTCAAAGTCTTCCTTTTTTTTCCAAACTTTCTAACAGAAGAAATTGAAAAACTCAGCATATGGAGTTCTACTGTATTTATGGAATAGCAACACTTCTGTCTTAAGTTGGTGGACTGGCTTACATACTGACAGCACACTCAAGCCACGGTGCTATTCAGGAAATCCAGATTCACTTTTATTCAACTCCAACGTTTAGTTTCAAAGGCAGCTTAGGGATATTTTTAAACCAACCCATTTGACATCTCCAGTCCCATTTCATTATTGCCAGGCTTTTTTTCTGTGGAGATACTGGTATACAACACTGAAACGCTGGAGGGTTATTAGGAACTATTACTTCAGCCTGGTTCACCTTATTTCACTCTTACTCAACAACTTACCTACAACTACCTTCACAGGAAAATTTCTCACAATGCCACTGCTAATGCAAATTTCAATTCTCAGTATCAACAACTTGAAACTGCACTTTCTGAAATCCTGGAAAGTATCTCAGTTCAATGAGACAAATTAATAAACTGATACAACCTGCTACAGTCACTTAAAATGAATGCTTTACCTGCGCATCTGATCTTTCTGTGCAGAAAAAGCAGAACCTTGTCTTCCCTTGATCTGTGTCCCATAACATTTGTGTTTTGTTTTTTGTGTTGGGGTCACTTTGTAATGTTTATGATCACAAGAAAACCTTTGGGGGGGAGGGGGACAGACAGGTCCAGTGAGTTTGGGAACTTTCAAGCCAGTTTGTGGGTCTTTCCTCGCGGTTGATGAAATGGTAACATAAGCCAGAGCACCCTGTGAGGTGCTGCGACATCCACGAAAAGTCACTTTTCCACAAGACACTTGGAAGGGTGAGAAGCAGAAAAGGACCTGGGGCCTGAGACGAAAGAGTCCTCGCGGTAACTACTGGGGTCTCATTAGAAAACCGAGGCAAAGAGTTAAGGGACTGCAAAACCCAACCACTCGGTCTTATCCTCGCTTTCCCAAAGTCACAAACCTAACTTTCTCAAACTTCGCGGTGAATGACATAATTATGAAAGCCTAGTTCCCGAGCCACTCTTCCCCAGGCAACAACCCATTCTCCACAAACGCCCTCGCCCATTCCTATATATCAGACATTAATCACCCCATTTACCCAGTGGGGTGGGGGGTGAGTGACAGTTTAACGAGCCCCAAGCACCGCAATGGGCCAGCGACTCCCACTCCACAAATCAACCCCATCACGTCTCGCTACCGCCGATCCATAGAGGTTTTGAGAGGTTGGGGTTTTGTTTTTCAAAGAGGTGCGGGCGGGGGTGGGGGTGCCGAGTGGGGAAGAAATGCAAATCTTTGCGTAGCTGCCTGTGCTTAGAGCACACGGGGAAAGAGGAAGGTTAAAACCACAGGGAAGGAGGTGGAGGGCGTAGAGCCGGTGCAGCAGGAAAACACCTTCAACAGCAGCCAAGAAAACAGACCCGGGTCACGGCAACAACAAAAGAAAAGTCGCAAGAAGAAGCCAGCGGGAGGAGGGCGGTTGCTACCGCTTCCCCGACGCCACCGCGTGAGCCCCCGGGCCTCCCAGCAACGGCCACGGCCCGGCCCGGCCCGGCCCGGG